GGGCGACAGAGCGAGACTCCGTCTCAAACAAACAAACAAAAAGATTTGACCTCACAGACTCCCCTGTTCCTGTGTCCAGGCTCTGGAGGCCCCCATGTGGGTCAGGGGGACTATGGGAGGCAGGACCAGAGCCACCTCAAGGTGGCATTATTAATGGGGCCTTAATAATTGTCTGTGCTCTTTCAGACAAGGACACTTTGAAGGGAGTTGATGCGAGCAACGCGCTCGTTCTACCGGGGAAGAAGAAAAAGAAGACCAAAGCCCCTCCGCTGTCGAAGAAGGAGAAGAAGCCTCTGACCAAGAAGGAAAGGAAAGTGCTGCAGAAAATCTTAGAACAGAAGGAGAAAAAGAGCCAGGTACGCCCCACTTGGACAGGGTCTGCACGTGGCTATCCAGAATAGAGAGAGATGGGGGGGTCTCTCTCCTCCTAAGGGGGTGACTAGAGAGAGATGGGGGGTCTCTCTCCTCCTGAGGCGGTGTCTGTGGCGCAACTGATAGAACTTTCTGGAATGAGGAAAATTCCAGTGCATGGTCCAGTGCAGTAGCCACTAATCACATGTTGCTGTTGAGCACTTGAAATGCAGCTACTATGGCAGAGGAACTGAACTGAACTATTCTGGAAAATGTCCAACTTTTTTCCTTAATTGTTTTTTCTTCTTTTTTTCAAAATTTACATTTAATTTTTTTTTTCCTTTTTTGTTTTGTTCCACCACCCCCCACACCTTTTCTGGCTTAAATTTTTATTTTATTTTATTTTATTTTATTTTGAGATGGAGTCTTGGTCTGTTGCCCAGGCTGGAGTTCAGTGGTGCGATCTTGGCTCACTGCAAGCTCCGCCTCCTGGGTTCAAGCGATTCTCCTGTCTCAGCCTCCTGTGTAGCTGGGATTACAGGTGCATGCCACCACGTCAGGCTTTTTTTTTTTTTTTTGTATTTTTAGTGGAGATGTGGTTTCAGCGTGTTAGCCAGGATGGTCTTGATCTTCTGACCTCGTGATCTGCCGCCTTGGCCTCCCGAAGTGTTGGGATTACAGGCGTGAGACACTGCTCCCGGCCAAACTTAAATTTTTCATAGAGGAAAAAAGTTTGTCATGGGAAATTCAAACATATGCAAAAGTACAGAGAACAGTATGATGAACTCCCATGTGCCCATCGCCAGCTCCAACATTGATCAGCCCCTGGTCAATCTTGGATTATCTCCACTGCTGGTCACTTTCCCACCCCGGGGTCATTTTGAAGCAAATCCCACGTACAATGAATCTGTGCTAGTTTCCTGGGGATGTCATACAAATGACCACAAACTGAGGGGCTTAGGACAGTATAAATTTGTTCCTTCCCAGCTCAGGAAGCCAGAAGTCCGAGATTAAGGCATCAGCAGGGCTGTGCTCCTCACTGGGCTCAGGGGAGGGTCATTCCTGGCCTCTTCCCGCTCCTGGCAGCTCCAGGCATTCCCTTGGCTTGTGGCTGCGTCACTCTAGTCTCTGCCTCCGTCTTCCCTCAGCCTTTCCTCCGTGTGTCTCGTCGAAGGGTGCTTCTCATTGGATTTAGGTCGCACTCGGATACTCAGGATCATCTTGTCTTGAGATCCTTCACGTAGTTACGTAATTACATCTACAAAACCTTTTTTCCAAATAGGATCATGTTCGCAAGTTCCAGGATACAAACACATTTTTGAGGGAGGCTGCCATTTAACCCACTATACATAGCATTTTATCCATAAATATTTCAATTTGTATCTCTATAAGTAGAGACTTTTAAAAATGACCAGAATACCATTAGCACTTCTAATCTTTTTTTTTTTTTTTTTTGAGACGGAGTCTCGCTCTCTGTCATCCAGGCTGGAGTATAGTGGCACAATCTCGGCTCACTGCCAGCTCTGCCTCCCAGGTTCATGCCATTTTCCTGCCTCAGCCTCCCGAGTAGCTGGGACTACAGGTGCCCGCCACCATGCCCAGCTAATTTTTTGTATTTTTAGTAGAGACGTGGTTTCACCGTGTTAGCCAGGATGGTCTCGATCTCCAGACCTTGTGATACACCCTCCTTGGCCTCCCAAAGTGCTAGAATTACAGGCGTGAGCCACCGTGCCCAGCCAACCTAATCTTTTATTTTAATATCAAGCATCTAGCAAATGGTTAAATTTCCTGTTGTTTCATGGATACTCCTCACCCATCTCTTGTTTTTTTTTCCCATTGCAGTTTATTTGTTGTTTGTCTTACAGAATTTCCTACCTTCTGGATTTTAAACATTTTATTTTATTTTATTATTATTTTTTGAGACGGAGTTTCACTCTTGTTGCCCAGCCTGGAGTGCGATGGTGCGATCTCGGCTCTCCGCGACCTCCGCTTCCTGGGTTCAAGCGATTCTCCTGCCTCAGCCTCCCGAGTAGCTGAGATTACAGACATGCGCCACCATACCCGGCTAATTTTGTACTTTTAGTAGAGACGGAGTTTCTCCATGTTGTTCAGGCTGGTCTTGAACTCCCAACCTCAAGTGATCCACCTGCCTCAGCCTCCCAGAGTGCTGGAATTATAGGCATGAGCCACTGCACCCAGCCTTAAAATTTTATTTTAAACATGCTCCTCTGCCGTCTGAGTTTTTTGTACATTAGTATTTGGATCTGTAGCAGTGACTCTCATCTGGGACAGTTTAGCGCCCCCCACCAGCCCTGGGGACATTTGGCATTGTCTTGAGACATTTTGGGATGTGACAACTTGGGAGTGCTGCTGGCATCTGGCGGGTGGAGCCATGGGATGCTGTTAACAGCCTACAATGCACAGAAAAACAAAAACTTATTTGGCCTAACTGTCAATAGTGCTGAGATTGAGGAACCCTGACCTGGAGGCTTCATGAGAATCAAGTTTGACTTTTGGTGAGGCCACTGCACGTGGGAGCTGTGTCTTTGTATCAGGAGGCTTGAGGGTCTCTCTCCGGCAGCCGTGGATGGGCAGTCCCCAGAGCCTTAGTAGGGGGAAGACTCACTCACCTGTGAGCGTGTTCTTTATTTTTTTTGGAGACAAGGTCTTGCTCTGTCGCCCAGGCTGGAGTGCAGTGGTATGATCTTAGCTCACTGCAACCTCTGCCTCCCAGGTTCAAGCGATTGTCCTGCCTCAGCCTCCCGGGTACCTGGTACCACAATCATGTGCCATCACGCCCGGCTAATTTTTGTATTTTTAGTAGAGACATGGTTTCACCATGTTGGTCAGGTTGGTCTTGAACACCTGACCTCAGGTGATCTGCCTGCCTCGGCCTCCGAAAGTGCTGAGATGGCAGGCATGAGCCACTGCGCCTGGTCGGCATGTCCTTTTTAAATCCTATTTAGGATGCTTTCCCACTGTGCTATACCTTGCTCTGTGTGTGTGTGTGTGGTGTGTGTGTGTAATACACACATAGAAGCGTGTATAAAACCTATATGTACAATTACAAGAACAATAAAGGAAAAACTCATGAAACCCTCACCCAACTGAAGGAAGCCGACTGGGTGCATCCCCTGCACACAGCATTGCTCAGGGTAGCTTGGGGACCGGTTCACATCAGACGCACAAAGCCGCCTCCTTCCTCAGGGCGGCTGGGGAGCACTGCCGTACATGACTGAGCTGTGCTTTATTCGTCTCCTGTTGATGGACATCTGGTGGGTCGTAGTCTACTGTGATACCCTGCTGCAAAGAACCTCATTTATACAACCCCAGATTCTGTAAAAGGGGTTAAAAAAGCCCTGCCAAGCTTGCTGTGTCTGTTGATGGAGGAACACCATGCAGCAGTAGAATTACAATTTGACCTCTGATTTTGTTTTTTGTTTTTTTTTTTTTTTTTTGAGACGGAGTCTCGCTCTGTCGCCCAGGCTGGAGTGCAGTGGCCGGATCTCAGCTCACTGCA